TTGTATTTCTAGTCCACTTTGTTAGAACTGTGGTCTTTAAAAGGAGATTGCAAAGCTCCTGGATCCAGCTCCTGACAGTTTTATCACTGTCAATGAACATTCCATTAATCTTAAGAGTTATTTAAGTCATACTTAAATGTAATAGCGGAATTCAGTCTTAATTCTTACAGTTCTTTTTGTACATATTCAGCTCTTCCTTATTACAGACTTTAAGATAACTGGTGTTGGAATTTTTGAGGGAGGTAGTGGGATATGAATTTTTAAAAATGCATCATGTATTTCCCTCTAACCTTAATGATACTACTCTTTAAAAAATGACAGGTAATAAACATCTGTTGAATAGGTGAATCTTTTCAAATTGAAATTATTGGGAAGCTATAAGAAAAGCATTTCTAAGTTCCAGCTGTCTTTCTATTCTTCTGGTAATCATCATTCAGTTATTTACTGAGGGCCTAAGGAATACTGATCATTTCTTCCACTGTTTTCCCACTATCTCATTTTATAGACTAAAGTCACCAGTGTTTGAGCTCTGACAGTTTACTACAAGGAAGTGAAATATTGTTTCCAATTGAAATAGATTTTTTGAGGGTAAAGTGTCTGCTGCTTGCTTTTATCAATAGCTTTGACACTTGATTTCCATGTTTATTGATGTTACGTTACAGCTCAGTACTGGTATGCATGGAAATCTTTGCAAATTTACAGTTATTCTATTTTAATTATCTTGAAATTACATTCTTTAGAAACTCAACAGAGGGAACTGTCTTTGCTGCCCCTTTGTACTCTCAGTTTTTGTTGTCTCTCTGGCTACCTAGGAGCTATTGTAGAAGAAAGGACAATTGAAGTTGCCACTGCTTGTTCCAGATTTAGATACCCACAGAGAAGAGACTCCAGACTCTCAGATAGAACAGTTTTATACAGGTTGATAAATGGAAAGGTATCTTAAGTTCTCTCATATCCTTACTCAGACTCTTGCATTTCAAAACCCAGGGTAACTTATGTTTAGCTGCTGAAGTAGTTTGGTCCCTTTACTAAAGGAAATGAGATTTATCATCTCGTAAGCTGTGTGCTGCAGAGACATTGGTGTCTGTTGAGGGAAGGGAAAGTTGCATTTTTACTATCATATCCTTTTCCCCTTATACATTCTTTCAAGAATTTGGTGAAAGCATTAGACTTCTTTAGAAAAAGACACATGGACACAAACATATTTTTATACAGAATTTTGAGACATTTCTGGTCTTCGTGAAACTTAACTGTAAACCCAAACTCATGTAGGTTGTCTGAACTCCAGACTAAACTCCTGCTTTAAATGAGAGCATTGCTAAAAGTTCTGAGTGACCTAAGATCCTGTAACATGATACTTTGAAGTTTTATGTGGCCAAGAAAGGAGAACTTTTTATGGGGAGGCCTGTAACTTAACCTTTAGCCACTAGGCTCTTTGCATGCTTTCCTCTTTGTTCATAACCTGCTCTGCTGGATTCTTCTCTTCTACATAGCATCTAAAAAATTGAATTGCCTCAGGTCTCTTCATGGGCTCCCCTCTTCTCTCCTACTTATTGTTGCTTGATTAATCTCTTCCATACCCCTGGATTGAAACACCACAGTGTTGTTGATGGCTGTGTGTCTGTTAGTCATGTCTGACTCTTTTGCGATCCCTTGGACTGTAGCCCACCAGGCTCCTCTGTCCATGGAATTCTGGAGTGGGTTGCCACTTCCTCCTCCAGAGGATCTTCCAGATCCAGGGGTCGAACCTGGGTCTCCTGAATTGCAGGTGGATTCTTTACCATCTGAGGCACCGGGGAAGCCCTGTTGATAGCTGCCAGATTTGTATCTTCAACCGGTATGTCTTCCCAGAGTGCCAAAATCCCACATGCAACTGCCTGCCCAGAAATCATTGTTCCCATATCTTAGATGTCGCCTGTGTAACAGATGATAAAACTTACCACGAATATGTTTTATAATTACTCTATTGAGATATAATTCATAGAGCATAAAATTCACCCTTCACTAAATTAAAGAAAAATTCAGGGATTTTTAGCATGTTCACAGAACTGTGCATTATATTCACAGAACTGGAACTCTTATTCCAAAACATCTTCATCAGCCTAAAAAGAAATCATGTACTTATTAATAGTCACTCCTCATTTCCACCACCCCCCACACACCCCCTACCCCCCCACCAGCCCCAGCCCCTGGGAACCACTAATATCTTTCTTATTTCTGTATTTGCCTACTCTGGATATTTCATGTAAATGGAATCATGTAGTTTGTGGCCTTTTTCCGGTTTCTTTCACTTAGCATAGTATTTTCAGGGTTCACCCATGTTGTAGCATGTATCTCTACTTTATCCCTCTAACGGCTGAGTGGTGCTCTGTCAATGGGTAATGCCATGGTGGTTCGCACATGCTTCGGTTGACGCTTTACTGCTACAGTGATGTGGAATTTAAGGCTATAGATTGTGAAGATTATGTGACACCATGTATAATTTGAATTGAAATAGCTTTAGAAATACTGGTACCTAGAACTTGAGCTGATTTTTTAAAATGTGCAATACTTTTGTGCTCATGCTTGGTCGTGTCTGACTCTTTGTGACCCCAGCTGTAGCCCCCCAACCACCCTCTGTGGAATTTTCCAGGCAAGAATAGTGGAGTGGGTTGCCATTTCCTATAATTGTAATACTTTTACCTTATTTCCAAAAGAACGCAAAACGTGAGGCTGCAGTCACTTTTAACTTTCTGTGAAGTCTTAAGCATATCCTCCCGATATTTTACTTTTGGAAAGATAAGCAAGCTAATGTTATTTTTGTGTGTGATTAGCTGAATATTTACCCATTTTGAAGGCTTTATAGAATCCATTTTATATAAAATATTTAATTATTCTAGGACAGTGGTTTAAACCTGAGGTCATATTCTAATACATTTTCTTTTCACAGTTTGAAATGAATCATCATTACTTTCAGTAAAAAATGTCTGAATGTTTAAATGACATTATTAAATTATATTACGAAATGCCAAACTGTTGACAGTTTTATTTTCTTCGTACTTTGAGGTTTGTTATTCATGAATGTATGAAAGTGTCAAACATTTACTTTGAAGGTCTACACATAAAACTGTATTTATTTAAATGTGAACATCTAAATAAATCACAGGATCATCTAAATATTATTTTAAATTACAATTCCAGGCACTAGCCTTGATTATGAACTGTAGCCATTTTCTGAACTCATTTAGGAATTTTCCGAGGCACATCAGTGGTTTTCTTAGTCATGAGAGAACTTTTATAAAGGAGTAATAAATCAGCTTTTTAAAAAAATTTGGTAATTTCATAAGGAAAATATTTCTTGACGATGGAAGTTAATTTGAATAAGTTAGGTTATGGAATCTTTGAATCTAAAAGATGTGAGTCATTGATAAAGAATATATAATCTGATCATAAAATTGACCTTTCTCTCCTGTTAGATGAGAATCATCTTTATGTTTAGCGTGAGAATTTAAAATAATGAAGTAGATTGACAGTTGAAATCCTGTACTGTGTAGCACCCTCTACTCTGTTGGAAAGAGTAAGTGGGAATCTCAATTAGTAGATGTGGTAAGCCAAGTTACATTGATAGGCAATTCAGAGTTATTGCAGATTTAGTCAGGTATCACGCATGAGGTTGTCACGGTCACTTGTTCAATTAGGTGCACACCACTGGAGTTTTAAATTCACAATGTGGAAGGGAATTCACAATGTGCACTTATCAGAACAGAAGGAAATGTGTGGTTAAACGGTTTCAGCTATAACTGTAGACTGTTTCCCTTGGTCCACATGGGAGGAGAAATGGAACCTAATGTTTTTTATTTTTTTCCCAATATCAGTAGAAATTGACTCAGCATGGTTTATGGGGGCCCTTAACAGGAAAAATAGTTGTGTTTAGTAGTCTAGGAGAATGACATAAATATGTGCTAAGAAGGCATAAGTCTTCTAGGTTTTATTTTACAGGTGCTTCAGTAGTCATTTTTCTTGCATATTTATAATTACTGACAGCCCTACTAAACCTCTCTAAAAACAAGAGTGCCTCAAGATTTTTTTGTTGAAGAAACTGCTGAGTTGATTAAAGAAAAAGGTGTTCTCAGCTTTTTCCTCCTTTATTTTTTCTTACTCCTTTCTTATTTTATCACAGTAAAATACTCACCTCAAGATAATAGCATCATCCATCTTTCATCAAGATGATCCATCCTTTCTTGGTGGATCCTTAATTGCTTGAGAACAATTATATTTTCAGGCAATAGGAAAATTGATTTGGTAATCCAAAATGAAAGTGACTTAAATTTGGAAATCATGCCTAAAGTGACTTTTGCTCAAGGGTTATTTACTTGAAACATATTATGTGTTATATGCATAAGTAAGTGTTGTATCAGTTTTAACTTAAGTTAGCCAGAGTTGATTTCTATTGCTATTAGCCAAAGAAACTTAAGTTAAAAAAAAAAAAAGAAGGAAAAAGCAGCAGCATTACTTATCAGAAGTCTGTGAGGTGGTTCATTCGACAGAAAGGACAGGAGAAGAGCCTGACCCTGGGTGGCTTCAGGTATCCAAATAGAAACAGTGCATTCGCTTCAGGGGCTAGTGAATTCCAGTTGTTGTACCTCTACATGTCTTTCTACTCGAGATTCAAAAATTAAGGCAAAGTACCTGAATGTCCCAGCTTCAGCTGCAAGAGAAATGATGTCTACTTCAAGCATCATCTTACTACAAACAGTTTTTATAAAATCTGTGAAACTTCCTTTTAAAAATAATCTAGAAAAATTGTGACTAGAAATAAAATCCTGGTAAGCCAGATTAGCTTAATGTATAGAACATAGTCAGAGGCTATGCTTTGTATATTTTCCTGCAATTCTTAATTTTATCATTGTATTTAGTTCCCCGCCCCAAAGAAAACCAGTTTTCATAAGTAAGTTTATCCTTTGTTTCTTGTGTGTCTGATGGCTCATCATGGATTTTCATCCTTCTTTTCTGTGTCTTAGGTATATTTGAAGGCTCCCATGATTCTCAATGGAGTCTGTGTTATCTGGAAAGGCTGGATTGATCTCCAGAGACTGGATGGTATGGGCTGCCTGGAGTTTGATGAGGAGCGAGCCCAGGTAGGGTGACTTCGGGCTTTACCGACTGCTCCCTGTATTTATCCCTAATCTTGCCTTTGTCTGGAGATCTATTTTACCCAGTCTTTAAGAGTAAGTATACGGTGCTGCCCTGGGAGCTTCAGTGGTCCCAGCCTTGCAGCTGGTGGGGGAGGCTGCCCAGTGGTGGCAGTGGTGTATCCCTGGCCCGCTGGACTGTAGCTTCTTTACTGCCAAGTCATCTGTTCATCCATCCGTGGGGGTCCACAATGGCCACCTTCAGCCGCCAGGAATTTTTCCAGCAGCTCCTGCAGGACTGTCTCCTGCCTACTGCCCAGCAGGGCCTTGACCAAATCTGGCTGCTCCTTGCCATCTGTCTTGGCTGCCGCCTCCTCTGGAGGCTTGGATTGCCATCCTACCTGAAGCACGCAAGTACTGTGGCAGGTGGGTTCTTCAGCCTCTACCACTTCTTCGAGCTGCACATGGTCTGGGTCGTGCTGCTCAGCCTTCTGTGCTACTTCGCGCTCTTCCTCTGCCGACATTCCTCCCATCGCGGCGTCTTCATCTCCGTCACCATCCTCGCCTACCTGCTCGTGGGTGAGACGTACATGGTGGACACTGTGGTGTGGCACAGGATGCGAGGGGCCCAGATGATTGTGGCCATGAAGGCGGTGTCTCTGGGCTTTGACTTGGACCGGGGTGAGGTGAGCGTTGTGCCCTCACCTGTGGAGTTCATGGGCTACCTCTGCTTTGTGGGCACCGTCATCTTTGGGCCCTGGATATCCTTCCACAGGTACTTAGAGGCCGTCCAAGGCCGCCCACTGAGCTGCCGGTGGCTGCAGAAGGTGGCCCAGAGCCTGTTACTGGCCCTTCTGTGCCTGGTGCTGTCCACCTGTGTGGGCCCCTATCTCTTCCCTTACTTCATCCCCCTCGATGGTGACCACCTCCTTCGCAAGTGGCTGCGAGCCTATGAGAGTGCCATCTCCTTCCGCTTGAGCAACTATTTTGTGGGCTTTCTATCCGAGGCCACAGCCACGTTGGCAGGGACCGGCTTCACCAAGGAGAAGGATCACCTGGAATGGGACCTGACCGTCTCTAAGCCACTGAACGTGGAGCTGCCCCGGTCCATGGTGGAAGTTGTCACAAGCTGGAACCTGCCCATGTCTTGCTGGCTGAATAACTATGTTTTCAAGAATGCTCTCCACCTGGGGACCTTCTCAGCCGTGCTCGTCACCTATACAGCCAGTGCCCTCCTGCACGGCTTTAGCTTCCACCTGGCTGCGGTGCTGCTGTCTCTGGCGTTTATCACTTACGTGGAGCACATCCTGCGAAAGTGCCTGGCTCGGATCCTCGGTGCCTGCATCTTGTCGAGAAGGTGCCCGCCAGACTGTTCACACCAGTATCGTTCGGGCCTGGGGGTGCGAGCCTTAAACCTGCTCTTTGGGGCCCTGGCCATCTTCCACCTGGCCTACCTGGGCTCCCTGTTTGATGTTGATGTGGACGACACCACAGAGGAGCAGGGCTACGGCATGGCATACACTGTCCACAAGTGGTCAGAGCTCAGCTGGGCCAGTCACTGGGTCACTTTTGGATGCTGGATGTTTTACTGTCTAATAGGCTGAGACACATCTGAGGCAGCTGCCACAAGAACCCTCCTCAGGGTGGTGGGGATGAGGGAAGGCCCTCTCTAATTTTTGATCCTTCTCCATTCTTCACACTGCCCCCCATACCCCTACACACACACACACACATTCATACACACACACATCATTTCCATACCTTCCAATCCCCACTTCCACCACAGGACGGGAAGGCAGTGGTCCCTGCTGCGGCCTAGGGGTGGGGAGAGCCTGGAGAACAGAGAAAGGAGATCCAGGGCCTTCCTGCCTGCCTTGTCTCTTTGTATATACAGTTTGTTATCATCAAGTAAATTTGGAAGTTGTTTTTTTTTTTTAAGAGTAAGCATAGAAAGTCTCATGTTCTCATAATGTTGAGGAATTCTGAAGAGACTGAGACCCAGGTTTTGGTCTGTTTGGGGAAAGATTTCCTTCAGTGGTTTTAAATTGCGTTGGATTACCACTGTGGGCTTAGTGGGGCACTTCAAAGTGGAGTAGATGGTTCTATTTAATATTTGCTCTGGATCTTTGGCACATTTTGGGGGGAGGGAGCCCAGTTTAAAATGTACGAGCAGCAGTTTTGAAACAGCTAAATGAGGAGCTTGGCAAGTTCTCCTTCCAAAAAAGCAATTGTTAAACTTAACAAAATTGTAAACAAACAAGCAAAAACCCATTTACGGTCTCTGGAAATTAACCAAAGGACATATATTGAGAGGCATTTATTCGAACAAAGCTAGTGAATTTCAGTATAAACAGTGATGATCATCTAGCATGTTAGGAGATGCTCCCACCTCCTCCCTCAGCTCTGGTTCCTCAAGTTCCCTGGGCGTGCCATGAGGACTGGCAGCTCTGTTGTCCTGTCAGAGGGAACTGATTTTATTTAGAGCAGCACTTGGAAAAACACATGCCCAGGGCTGTTACGAAAACAATAGCAGTCTCTGTGGCAGACAGTCTGGGAAAGCTAATGTTGCAGGGAACAAAAAAATGGCAGACTGGCCAGAAATTTATCAGGGATACCTAGGGAAAGAGATAGCTAAAGTGAGCCCTACTATTCATATCACACTTAGCTCTTAGGGTCCAAAAGGGTGTGTACATGTACAAGGCTACACCTGTTCAGGAGAGGACAGAGGACCCTTGAAAGCTACTGGCCCCTGACTGAATGCAGAGTAGACTGATAAACTTCCTACACCTTGAAAGTATCCCTCCAAGTCACACACAGACCCCATGGCAAAGGATTTGAAAGCCTTCTGGCTCAAGGTGTTGAAGCAAAACCTCTGACCAGTCGTTGGCTGACCACTAAGTTATGCTGACCTGGGACAGCCCCCTAGAAAGCAAAGCTTAAAAAGAACAACAAAAAATTAAAAAAAGAACAACAACAACAAAAAAAGCAGTGACCTCAGAGTTTGGACACTGATGGGGAAACAGACTCCAGAAAATTAGGCAAGTCACTAAGTGGACAAACAGAAAACAGGCAACATGAAGCTGTGGGCAGAATTTCGATTTGCTACTAATTTGGAGTATTTCATTTAAAATACCCAGTTTAAAAAAAAATACCCAGTTTTTAAGGAAATTATAAGACGTGAAAATAAGCACAAAAGTGTGACTGTTATTCAGGGAAAAGCAAGCAATAGAAACTTGGAGTGAGCTCAGTGGCAAATGATGGTTCCTAGTAACAAAAAGAGCAGCTGCTTTTTCAATGTATTCAAAGAACTAAAGGAAAAATTCTTCCTTTTGCCAGTGACTCTTCAAAGAGAGGATTAATAAAGAGATTTGAGACTTCCCTCGTCCAGTGGTTAAGACTCTCTGTTGCCAATGCAGGGGGTGTGGGTTCGATCCCTGGTCGGGAAACTAAGATCCCACATGCTGTGCAGTGCAGCCAAAAGAGATTTTTTTTTTTTTTAAAGGAATAAAGAGATCTAAATTTTTAAAAGGAATCAAATAGAAATTCTAGAATTTGAAAAGTACAATGACTGAAATGAAAAATTCACAAACTCAACTGATTGGAGCTGGCAAAAGAATTAGTGAATTTGAACACAGGTTAACGGAGGTTATCCAGTCTCAAGAACAGAAAGCAGAAAAAAAAAGAAAAACAATCAGTATCACAGATGGTGGGATGCCATTACACAGAACAGCATACATGTAATGAAAGTCTCAGATGGAGAGGAGAGAAAGAAAGCAGAAAATGTGTTTTAAGAAATAGCTGACAACTTCTGAATTGATTAAAAATGCTCATCTCCATATCCAAGAAGTTTAATGAACTTTAAAAGGATAAACAGAAAGAAATTCACACCTAGATACATCATAGCCAAACCTGCAAAAGGGAAGCCTCATTACATGCAAGTGAGTCACAGTAAGATTAACAGCTGACTGACTTTTGTAAATATGGGGGCCAGAACATGTCAGTATATGATTATTAGTGGATGTTAATTTTTCAGTTGTTTAATATTAATCCACTTAATGAAGTTAAAATGATGGCATGAATAAAAAGGAGCTCTCTTTTTTGTTAGTTCTGTTATCTCTTTCCATCTTATTGTCCAAATATAGAAATGCAGGAATTGTCTCCTTAAGAGATCAAAAAAATCAAACCTTCCTAGTAAAAAAATTCAGATTGAGTTAAAATTCTTAAGAAAGAATCTCTGCCACTTTGATTTCTATAGGGATAAGGAATACTTAATTGTTTCAGAAAAAATAGTAAATAATTAGCAATTTAGAAGGCTGTTTTTGTAAAAGGTGATTAAGTTTAACCCACAGTATTTTCCATACTTAGAATTTTCCAGATTTTGTTGCCCTGGTCCACAGATTGGGTTTTATTGCTATAAACTGTCATATACTGTGATAGAAAACTAATATAATAATAGGTCTTTCATAGTATAAAAATTTTAAAGCAAGGGGTGCCAACCATCAGCACTTCTCTGGAGCTTTCACCATCCCAAATCTTCTGGAAGATAATAAAAGTAAAAAGACCATATAGTATAGAAGTTAGGAGTAGGAGCTTCATGGTCATAGAATTGTGATTCCTGGCTCCACCACTTACCAGCTATTGTGAACAGCATGTTTGTGTTACCCCTAAGTTAGTATTTTGAAGCCTCAGCTTCCAGTATGACTGTATTTGGAGATAGGGCCTTTATGGGGCATATTCTTGTTGTTTAGTCACTAAGTTGTGTCCCCCATGGATTGTAGCCCTCCAAGCTCCTCTGTCTGGGATTTTCCAGCCAAGAATAAAGTGGGTTCCCATTTCCTTCTCAAGGGTATTTTCCTGATCCAGGGATCAAACCTGCATCTCACATGTTGGCAGGTGGATTCTTTTACCACTGGGCCACCAGTGAAGCCCCCTTATGGGGTTGATTAAGGTTAAATGAGGTCCGAAGAGTGGAGTCCTGATATGACAGGATTAGTGTCCTGATAAGA